CTCGGAGTCCTGGGTTCTGTCTCCGTCTGCTGGGTTCCCCTGTACAGGCCACGTCCCCTCTCAGGGCTTGGTTTTCCAACTCCAAATGAAAGGGACGAAAGGCCTCCCAAGGGCTCCTTGGCTTTGTCAGTGGCCATGACATCTCACACCGGGGAGCTGGATGGCCTGGCTGGGCCCCAATAAGGGAATGCAGGACCTTCCTGAGTGGCCCAAAGGAGGGGTCACCTGACTTCAGTGACTTTGTGGTGCTGACTTCTGCTGCTCCAGTGAACATTTACTGAGCAGTACAGCATGCCAGACCCTGCACCATGTTCTGGGAGTACAAGCAAATATTCTGAGAGTCTAATAGGATTAGGGAAGCTTGGAACATAGGCCTTCTGTGATCTGGACTAGGTAAGTGATCGCAAACGCGTGCTGGCCCATGACGTGACAACAGTCACATCACTCTGCACCCAGCCTGCTCTCGGGGCCTCACTGCCTTTGTAATAACCCTGATGGAGAAGTGCTACAGGGAACTCCACAAGGAAACACGTGAGGAGTGAAGGGACTCGCCCGAGGCCACACGGTGAGTGTGGGGAAGCCAGGCTGGAATGGGGTATGAGTTGCAAGTTCCCAGAAAATCAGAACAGAGGGAGGACTGATGAGAAAGCCAAAGCCCAGGGCCAGGGCAGAGCTGAACAGCCCTGAGCACCCACAGGCTACTCAGCCCCCAGCTCTCAGTCCTGATGCCACTGCCCGACTGGGCAGAACCGGCTCCTCCAGACACAGCCACCCTCAGGCCAGGGAAGCAGAGCCATCCTGGGGACTGCCAGGTCCACATGCCAGGCTGGCAGCTAGCAGGGAGGGTCAGCTGGGCAGAGCAAGGCCTGCTCTGGGAGCCTAAAGGGATGGTCTGGTTCCCCAAAAGGCAAGGGGACCGTATGACTTCTGTGGCTTTGAGCATCTTTATGAGAGTGGGACCAGCAGGCTCTGTGGACTGGGATCCACAGAGTGGGCTCCCTACAGGTGAGGCCAAGAGTTAGGGAGACAAGAAACAGGTACTTGGCAATGGGAGAGCCAGTGGGCAGGGGCACAAGGGAGAGACACAGAGCTCAAGGAAGGGCAAGTTCAGGGAGGCAGAGGGGCCCTAGGGAGGCAGGGGTCCTAGGGAGGCAGAGGGGCCCAGGAGAAGAGGATGCTCATCTATGGGGAAGACACCTGCGGACACAGTGATCCTGGAGGCCACGCAGGGTAACGGGGTCTGCCAAACAGGCCTGCGTGAATTCTCCCCTCTGGGCTGCCACCACCTGGCATCCTGCCCAGCTGGGGAGGCAGGGAAGTGGTGGATACTGGACGAGAGTGTGGGGTCGCCCTCCCCAGCCCTCAGACTCCGGCTGGGTCAGCAGGAGGGGCTCCCTCTCCCTTTCCTCCTGTGAAAGCCTCCCTTCCCCAGCCCTGCCATACCCAGCCAGCTCTCAGAGCTTGGGACTTTTGATGTTTACTTTGTTCTTTCCCCAGTTCAAAAGGAACTCGGCAGCCCTGGCCCCCCGCACCAAACCCAGCCTTAATCTCCCATCCCTCACGCTCCCAGCTGGCCAGTTAAGGCGGTTAAGACGCTGGATTAGGGCAGGCTTTACATAACAACGCGGGAGCTAAAGCCATCCTCTCCTGGGATGGCTAAAAGACTTCTTTTTATCTTCACGCCTCAGATGGCCTTTTTTCTCTCTTAAACAGCTCTCCAGCCCGCCAAGAGGCAATGAACTTGGCCAACATGAAGACAAAGAAGAGATTCAGGACTCAGCTTGTTCTCCCTTGGCCAGCAGCACAGAGGGACACCAGCAGCCGGGTGAGGAGCAGGTGGCTGGTGTTCTGTGGCCAGGACTTGGTAGCACCTGCTCCCACCAGGCCATCCTGGGATGGATAGCCTCAGACCAAGGCACCAGAGAGCCACAGACAGTCACTGGGCCCAGGGTCTCTCCAAGGGGTCTCAGGGACAAAGTGGACATGTCCAGGTGCCGACCTGGCTCAAACCAGAACAGCTCCTCTTTGGTGGCTTTAGTTACTGTTTTCACTTTTAAATTCTTTCATTACAGATCACAGTGTACAGATAACACTGCAGCCTTCTGTGACCACTTTCCAGGGTTTAGTCCCTTCCCATGTTTGAAAAGAGATACTGTTGTCCTCTGTCCAAGCCTCTATCTACACGATAAAATAATACCTGTGGCACCCCAAGAAAATATGGGGGCTGGGGGGGTTGTTTGGTGCCTTTTTTCCTTTTTTACCTAAAAGATCCTACTGTATACATCTTTCTGAAGCCTGTTTTCACTGTTTTACATTTTGTGCTTCTGTATAAGCTTCCGTTTGAAGATAGGGGCTGAGAAGCTTAACCACCAACAACCCAGCTCAACCCCCAGGTGGGAAACTGAGGCAGGCCCCTGGCAGGAGGGACGGGCCACGGATGAGTGGCAGGTGGATGGCAGGCGGATGGAGTAAATAGAACGATGGACGGACCAGAGAATGAACGTCTAAGAAGCGACTAAGGAGATGAGCACAGGAGTGCTGGGGTCACCTCTATCCCCAGGGCCTACATCCCACAGCCCTTTACTGGCTCCCCAGACCTTCTCCAACACCAAGTCCAGAGCCAGGAATGGCAGCTGGGGCTTGGGAGGGCCCAGGGAAGGGCAAGACTCAAAGCCAATGAGGTCCTAGGTGCAAGTACCAGGGTCGCACACTCACAGCCAGGATGGAGCTTTCCGGCCGTGGGACTCCTGCCTCTGGATCTGGGGCCTGTTCATATTTGGGCAAAGCTTGGTTGATAGCTCAGTCTCTAGCTTGCCTCCGGTTTCTGGGCCACAGAGTGAATCCCCTCCAACAGTGCTGCTCCGAGGGCAGGGTGTGCACACGTCACCCGGGAAGCTCATTAGCAGGGAAGTGAGCTAGTTCAGTTCTAGGTGGAGCTAAGCGTCTACACTCACAGCAGCTCTCAGGCCAGCTGTGGCCCCAGCCCTCAGATCCAGCCTTGGTTCTCCCTGGGGACCCCCTGGCACTGAGTACCCACCAAGTACAGCTTTCCTCTCAAGGCCCTTAGGACCTACATGTGCCCCAGGAACCCTGTACCTGGGCCCCCAGCCCTCCAGCCAACTGCTGCCCTGGCCTTGGCAGAGAGGTCCTTCTTGTCCTGCTGCTGCCCCATGAGGTGACTCCTTCCCTCACTCTGAACAGTAGGTGGGATGCCACCGCGTTGGGCAGGCACTCTCAGCTTCGCGGCACCATCTACTTTTTGTACCAATTCCAGGAGCCAAGCAGGGAAACGTCCTCATCCCCCTTCTACAGATGTGGAAACCGAGGCTTAGGAAGGCTATGCAGCTTGCCCCAAATTGAATCAGTACACCAGTGGCCAGCAGGCACTCCACCTTAGCGTCCTAACACTCTATAATGTCACTTTCCCACAAAGAAAGGAAGGAATGAGGGGTACAGCCGTGAGAGGAGAGAGGCCAGCTAGGTGCGTGGGTGCACACAGGCTCACACACCAGGGCAGCGATATGAGCAGGGGAATGGGAAACCCAGCAGCACCCCACAGAGGGAGCTCACTGCATGCCTGGCACTGTTTCAGGGACTTCACACAGTCCCGCATTGGCTGCTGTCACCATCCCCAGAGGGACCCTGAGGTTCAGCATCCTGTCAAGAAGAACGAGGGTCCAGGGTCCCACAGCCAGCACAGCATGACAAGATGCAGACCCCGGAGACCTGGCCTCTCCCTCCTCCCTCCCACCCTATAGGGAGTCACAAAGTCCTCTGCCTCATCTGCAGATTTTCTGGGGTACAGTGGGGAATGCGTGTGGGGTGTCGCACAGCCGGCCAGGCCCCCACCTCACTGCTGCTGGGAAGAGAGCAACAGACTCCAGGTACCTTCTAGCCGGAAGTCCTCCTCCTCCTCCTCGCTGGCCGCGTCTCTGAAGGCTTCGCCCACCAGCTCCTAGAGGGAGACAGAGAGGGGCGTTAGGACGTGTCAGGGCTGGGGGAGCAAGTGCTGGGACGTGAAAAGCTGCGTGCTGAGGACCCTGTTCTCATTCTCCTGAGGGGAATCTAGGTCAAATGAGGCAGATCCTACTGTACTTGAAAACTTAACTATCAAGGTGCCTTTTTAGGAAGTGTCTCTCAGCCTCCACCCCACCGTGGAATCCCACTCAGGACCTCATTTCTCCCGCAGAAAGGAAGTTCTGCCCTACCTACCACTGCAAAAGCAAGGTTGGAAAATGCCCCTCGTGTCCTGTCGAGCCAACTTAATGGACACAGGACCAGCAAGCCTCCCCAGCAGTCCCAAGAGCAGCCCTGGATTTGGCTCCTCCCTGCGGCAAGGGTCCCAGGAGGGCTGCCTCAGGGGCGTTACAAAGAAGCCCGCAGGGCCTGGTGTGTTCTAAGGGGGTCCCCACTGCCAAGCTCTTCAGCACAACTGCAGGGGCTGCTCCAGCTGGTTTTCAACCATGCTTCCCACGTCTCACCCGCACACACCTTCTGGAAATTAGCCCGACCCTGGCACTGCCTTGCCTATGCCCTGCCAGAGAGTTAAGGATGTCTCATCCCACATGGCAGGGCAACTCCCAACCAGCCTGGTCAGATGATGTCAGGGTGATGAAAGGGAGTCTGATTAGTCCACAGGGTGGGAAATTTCCAGGATGTCAACCAAGGCCCCATCTATCAGACCCACCCAGCAAGATAACTAGACATGAAGATGCTAGACCACCAGGCCTTATCAAACTGTCTTCTGTATTTATTGGTATTCTGCCAAGAAGAGGTCTGTGATCAAAGAAGATTGTTTTAAACAAAAGTTAAACAAGGTCCCTTACCGCGGGGACTTATTGGGGCTTCTACTATGGTTATGAATACTGTGAGTCTCCAAGGGCTGGTGTATCCTGCATTCTCCAAACCTATTTAGACCATAGAGTTTTGTTTTTCGAAAGCATCCCATGGGATTCACGTCCTACAGAATACACTTTGGGAAATACTCCTAAAGGTAGGGGTATCAGACAGGGTTGGGGAGTCGCCCTTATCTCTCTTAATGCCGCCCCCAGTGATGCTCTGGTAGCACTTCATGGACCACAAAATGACAGGCACCCAAATCCAGCAGCTGTCACCAACAGCTCTTTGTGAAAATGAAAAAGAAAACTAAAAAAATCACCCTCTTCCTTGGAGGAAGGGAAAAAACCCTACACCTCCGATAGATGCTCAGAAGAAAAACCAGTCCTCGTCTGGATTAGTAAAAAATAAAAAATAATAGTTCTTCACGCCGCTGCTCTCATCAACTGCACCCAGCTGGAGGTAAGCTTCTGGTCTTTTCTGGGTTTTGTCTTAAAGACAAACAGCTAACATTTTGTGGCTGTTTCCTTTCTTCTTTCAAATCTTTCTAGGGCATTACACACTCTTCCTTAGAGGTTGGTGAAATGTGGCCATTCAGACTCCCAGTGTCCCATTTACTTCAAAACCAGGCTACTTTATTCCTGGAGTCAGGATGGCTTCTGTCTCCTCCTCCGCCAATTATTATAATCACTGAACATTTCCTGGGCTTGTAAACTGGCTGTTTGTGTTAACAGAGCTGGAGTTGACAGGGGAGCTGGGACACAGTGACAGGAAAGGGACACACACAGGTGGCATCGTTAGATGGCTGGGCTGCCCCGGCAGCCAATTAAAGCCCATCTTTCATGCTGGAGAAAGACGGATGCCGCCACCCCCTGAAAAGCTGGCAGGCAGTGCCTCCCCACGGGAGCAGGCAACAGCCTTCAAGAGAATCCACAGACCTTTTCATGCTGAGGGCTTCTGCAGAGAGGGGACTCGGTGCTGCCCTCCACGCCACCCTGACCACACCGCAGCCAGGTAAGGCACTGATGAGACTTTGGAGTACTCTTGTCATTTTGCTGGCACATGCAAGACTCCAAACGCTGCCACCAGCACGGCAGCCATGTGGGACCCCAAGAACAATGCTCCCCTGTGTGTACAGGCACCACAGTCACCACTCTGATGGTGGCTTCAGCACTGCTGCTGGGAGAACCAAGCTCTCTGACACGTTCAGGAAGCAGAGTTCTAGCAAGTTCCAGCCTCTTCCTGCTAAACGATCCCTGCTCTGTAGCATGCGGCGAGAGCTCCTCTGCACCATGTCCCACTGCTGCCCTGTGCCGTGCAAATGCTCAACTACAGCAAAATTCATCTCGTCCTTAGAGCCATGTTGCCCAGGGGTTGTGTGGCCTGCAGCACCTGTGATGCATGAGCTGGAGGCACTGGGCCACAGGCAATGTGGGATGATGAGCCAGACACGGGACCACATTGTGACTCTACCTCCTGCCTCATCTTTAGGTCTCAGTCTACTCAGTTGTAGAATGGGTACAATAATAAACCACAATAATCATAAAAAAACAGCTGATACTTACTGCCCATCTCCCATGTGCCGGCACCATGCCCGGCACTTTACGTACACAGTTAACCCTTGGGGTCCATGGTCATCACGTTCAAGCTGCCGTGATGTTTAAGATTCTTATAAAAACGCTGTAGTATCTGCCTATAACCTAGACACATCTTCCGTACACTTTAAATCACCCCAGATCACTTATAATACCTAACGCAGTGTAAATACCATGTAAATAGTTGTTATACTGTATTGTTTAGGGAGCAATGACAAGAAAATAAAGTCTGTGTATGTTCACTATGGACACTTTCTTCCCCCAAATACTTTCTGTCTGTGGTTGGTTGAATCCATGGATACACAGCTCATGAATACAAAGGGCCCACTGTGTCTGTGTCTGTGTGTGTATTAACTCTTGTAATCATTACAATAGCCCTGCTCTTCCCATCTCTCGAGAAAGAAATATTTATTACAATGGTTTGAAAATTGTAAAGAGAGGGGTATCATCTTTACCGTTTTTTCCCACAAAGAAAGTAGCCCCAACTGCCGAGGACTGCGTGAGACAGAAAAACAACGCTAATGACAGCCCCTCGCATCATTCGCCACCGTTTATGGCATCTGAGGCGCTGACAGGTGGACTCCGTACAGCAGTGATTTCCAAGCGGTGCGCCACAGCACACTGGTGTGCTGTGAGAAGACCTCAAGTGAGCCACGATGATTTTTAAAAATCATTAATTAAATTATTTTCAAAACAAGTTCAAAGCACGCTAAGTGCTTTTTTTTACTCCTTAAAAAAAAAAAATCAACATAATTTAAGTGTGCCGCAGAAGTTTAACTATAGGTTCAAGTGTGTCGTGAGATAAAAAAGGGTGAAAAACACTGCCTTACAAGAAGGGCTCCCGGTGCCCTGTGTTTAGAGGAGGAGGAAGCTCCAGCAGGCCAGGCGACCCACTCTGAGTCATCAGCAGTGACAGCCAGCTCCTCCAGCCTCCCCAGCCTGGCCTCAGATAGTGCAAGTGGGCATGGAACAGAGATGGCTAAGAGTCCTGGCACTGGCCAGGACTCAGACTTAAAGGACTATGCGAAAAACAGCCTTGCCAACAGCTCCAGGGGTCAGTGTCCAAGTGCTCCCATCTGTCCGGTCGGACTCAAAGGCACCCACAGCCCCTCCCCGTGGTTTTGGGACTTGGCCCTCCACGCCAGGTCCAGAGGCCAGGCACTCAGCACCGTGCTGCAGGAAGGCAGATACCCCAGGGAGCTGGGCGCACAGACTCCTGGGCATCTGGGGTTCAGAGAGTACGCAACTCCAGGTAGTGAGACCTCAGTTCAAATCCTAGCCCTGCCTCACATGCTGCATCCCCCAGAATATGAAGGGACCTGGTCTCCAGTGCCCCCCAGGCCCCCAGTTAAAGATGCGGTCTTCAGGGGGCTGTGGAACAAGGAAGTGATTGCATATAAAGTGCTTATCATGGTACCTGATACCACAAGCAGAGCTCCAAGGACCAATGTTACCGTGTATTCCTTCCACCACCATGGCTCGGCTGCCAGAACCCTGCCAGGAGAAACGAGAATACTCCCCAGCCCCACTTATCCACAGACTCGTGGCAGCACGCTCCTAGCCTGCCCAGCACATTGCTTCATGCGTTGTGTTTCACCCTCTTGGCAATCCTTTCAGGTATTTCTATCATTATTAGCCCCACCTTACAGATGAGAGCACTGAGGCACAGAGAGGTTAAGTGGCTGGCCCAGGGTCACACAGCAAGCAGGTACCAGAGCCAGAGCCCACACCTTTCACCACTGTTCTTTTTTTGTTTGTTGGTTGGTTTTTGTTTTATTTTTACTTAAAATCTTTTTATCTTCTAACCACTGCTCTTATAAGAACCTGAGTGTAGGGCTTGGTATGCAGTGACCACCCTTCATGGCTCCTTGGTCTACTTTGCTGTCACTCTGGCCCATGGGCACCTCTGGTCTTCAGGATCAAGGGCCTTAGCCTCTACTCTGAGGTTCTGATCAAGGACCTACTCCCAGAGCTCCTGGCGTACCTGGCCTGGTGCCAGGCCACTCCTGCCCAGTGGCCTGGCTTGGTTGCCTCTCCAGCCACATGGCCCAGATGTGCCTCCTTCCTGAGTTCTACACTGGGACCTAGAAAGACAGGCAAGCTGCTCTGGGCACTGGGTGTGCAGCCAGAACCAGCCCAGAGCTCCGTATCGCAGGCACAATGCCTTATAAGGCCTCTGGGGACAGCAAGACCACATCAAAGTGGGGCCTTGGAGCACTAGAGTCTGGGCAGGGATTTTCCTCTCTGTCTTTAAGACTTTGTACTGCTGGACTTAATATCCCCCTGCCTGCCCCAGCAATGGTCTGTCAATCTTTCTGTTCTCTGAAAGCTAACAGATGTCGGTGCCACGGGGTTTCAGAGCAAACCCCAGGTGCCCAAAGAACGCTGTATAACTTATAGATTCCAAGAATGTGCAATGCTGGGATATGCCAGGGGAAGAGCCCTGGACCTGCCCCCAGGAAATTCCCGGCTAATTCCCTCTTCCAAGCTCAGCACAGATACAGCCCCGCCAGGCCATCCCAAG